CGTTTGACACAGCAGTTCCACTACTGGGAATATACCCTAAAGAAACCATAACTGCCACCCAAGCAGATATATGCATACCCATATTTATTATGGCTATGTTCACAATAGCAAAGAGTTGGAAAAAACCCAAGTGCCCATCAACAAACAAATGGATAGAGAAGCCATGTTACATTCACACAATGGAATTCTATGCTGCATTGAAAAACAACTCATGAAATACCGTATAAAATGGATGAACTTGGATGACATGCTGAGTGAAATAGCTCAGTCACAAAAGGATAAATTCTGCATAGTGCCTCTGTTGTAAAGCGGGACTGACATTGGGGTTGGGGGGAAGCTATGAGGGGATAAGTAAGGTGTACTGCATTGAAACAGATGAGGGAGAGAACTGTTTAAAAGGGATATATGATTAGGAATTATTGTCATGACAAGAGTCCAGAATGAAAGGACTGGGGAGGGGAGGGAGACTTTGTAACAAAGAATTTTTCTTTACTTTTCAAAGAGAAAAGCAAACGGGGGTAGGTGTGGGCAGAGAGGAAAGTGTGCAACATTGAGTGAATGGAAATCCAAAGTCTCTCTAAACTTTCATTAAAATAAATTTTTAAAAAATTAAAAACTTTGTTCATCAGAGGACTAGTAGAAGACTCCCAGAAAGTAGAAAGACTGGGAGAATATTTTTGGAAACAATATATCCAATAAAGAGTGGCATCCATTTCCTAAACAACATGCTTAACTCTATGAATTTTGATAAATAATGATAATTAAAGGTTTCAGGCCTTTTGTTCATAGGGTCGTTATGAGTCAACTCGAAGGCAACAACAATCTAAATACAAAACTTCAACAGTTTGAAAACATAAATAGAAGATGAACTAAAATCTTGAATGAAGATATTCAGCTCTTCACTAAACACATGGAGAGATTCTCAATGTTACTATCAGATGCAAATCAGAACCACGGTGAGATACCATTTCATTCCTTCAAGGATGCCTAAGATAAAAACCAGGAAATAATAAATGTTTGTAAGGATGTGGGAAATTGGCCGGTTATATAAAATAGCCCCACTCTTGTGGAAAACAAGTATGGTAGTTCTTAAAAAATATATATATATAGCTACCACGTGCCATAGCAGTTCTTGCTATGTACTCAGTTGAACACTAAGTAAGGCCTCAACAAATAGACTTGTACATCAGTTTTCATTATAGCATTATTCACAATAGCTCAAAGGTAGAAACATCTGAAATACCCATCAGTAGATGAATGGGTAACCAGTATATGTGGTACATGATTATGGTGCACTACTTCTCAGCCAGTGGGAGAAATAAAACCTTTTTTTTTTAATTCTTTATATAATTTTTTTTTATTTCAATGAACATCTACAGAGATTTTGGAATTCCATTCATTCATTGTTGCACTTTTCTCCCCACCCACCCCACCCCCGTTCGCTCCTCTCCTTGAAAAGCAAAAGAAAAACTCCTTCATTGGTACACAATCCCCCACCCCCACTCCCACCCCAAATATAACCCACTCAGTAACCCTCATTCCGTACTCTTATGATAAACATAATACCCTAAAATATAATACTTTTAAACTATTCTCTCCCTCATAGACTTCAATGCAGTAAACATAATTTATCCAGTTTTTAAATAAAATCTTAATACACACTACAGTATAGTTGGGGTTTGGAAACATG